GGTCCGGCCTCGGAGCTCTCCGCGCCAAGGGGGTAGCGGTCGCTGCCAGGTGGAGCCGCGCAGCGCTCCTGTGCAAGGCGAGGGCCGCGACACGATGCGGGGGCTGGAGCTGCTCTCCTGTGAGCACAGGCTGAGGGAGCTGGGGTGTTCAGGCTAAGAAAGAGAAGGCTCCGGGGGCACCTCGTTGCGGCCTTGCGGTGCCTGAAGGGCCTACGGGAGAGCTGGGGAGGGGCTTTTTACAAGGGCTTGCAGTGAGAGCACAAGGAGGAATGGTTTTAAGCTGAAAGAGGAGAGATTTAGGTTAGAGATCAGGTGTAAATTCTTCAGTGTAAGGGTGGTGAGACACTGGAGCAGGGTTAGATGGGGCTCTGAGCAGCCTGTTCTAGTGGTAGGTGAGCCTGCCCACGCAGGGGAGTTGGAACTCCATGATCTTTAAGGTCCCTTCCAACTCCAGAAGTTCTGTGATTCTGTGAGAGGTGCCAGCTACTTATAAAAAAGTTTGTTGAAACTTGGCTCTGTCAGCTTAAACATTAATAGCTGGAGTGGGCAAAGCTTACAGACTTGAAATACATGAACTGTAACAACTGTATTAGGTACTGCTGAAAAGCTAACTGCAGAACCGGCCAAAACTGACCAAAAAGGGTGTGGAACAGGATTCCGAAGCGCTGTACATGATATTAAGAAGATGGCCACTTAGCAACTGCATAGTAATGAAATAGCAAATAAATTGATAAAAGAGCAAGGAGATCCCAGACATAATATTACTCTTGGTCAAAAAAAGGGTTGGGGAACTTGAGTTGTAAGGGTGTAATAGCTCAGGGATTCTTTGTTTCGGGTCCCTCTTAAGGGGCACCCAGCTCCAGCTGTAGTGCTATTAATCATAAGCATTTTCATAAAGGAATCTTTTTCAGCTGATGCAGAAACCGAGGGTCAAACGCTCTTATAGTGGCTGGCACGCTTAGTTTCCATAACAAGGCTCACAGCTATGTAGGCTTCTGTCAGGCAGCACGGCCCATGGATGGAAGTTAACAGCAACCACTGAAGAACCTGTATGGCAGCCGGTTCCTGTTGCCCCCCTGGCATTTTATCTAGGATTGTTGATCTGTTTTACAGGAAATGTCTATTAATTTATTCCCCCCCCTCTAGAAGCCTCTAGAAGTTGCGTGTGCTATATCCCCCAGAATAAGCAAGCCTGGTGTTCTGTCTCCAACCTGAAACACATCATATTGCTCAAGTTGCAGGTGGGCTTGATTTGTTAGTTGCCTGAAAAACAGCTGCTCTCAGTTAACTTTTACCATAAATACTTTCTTTTCCGTTATCACAGAACAGTAATATCACATGTCGCTGAAAGAACCGACAGAGAAGTCGGAGACCTCCAAGAGCACGCTTCCTCCAATGTCCCAGATTCCAGGTCTTGGGGACTTCGCAAAAGCTCCCCATGAAGTGCCGTCCAGGTGCCACAGGAAGTGGATCAAAGAGACTGATTCAGCTTATGTCAGGCTGGCAAAGCAAGGAGGCCAACCTGGTGAGTGTCTTTTGCTTGTTGGTTTTTCCTTTGTTTTCTTTGGCTTTGATTGAGTGTGATGGTAGAAATTGGTTGTAGATACTACCGAAGAATCTTTTGAAGTTTTAAAATAGTCCCATAGAAAAATTGAAAATGTGCAATGAAGCAATGTGCAATGAGCAATTGAAAATGTGACATAAGAGGTCACCTTGTCAAGACATCCTTCTGGTCTACTGTGTATAGCTGCCTTGTAGCGAAATGTGTAGTTTTGCACTGGATCTGATCTAAGTAGATGATGGTTTAGCTGCATTTGAGTGAGGTCTTTATAATTTATGTTTGGGCTATTTAAGTAGATGTCTAGTGAAAATGATGTCACAAAAAAGATAATCAGAAAACTTGATAGAGGTTTACATAGTGGTTTTTGTGATGGTACTCGGTTTGTTACAGTGCTGTACAAACTTTTCTTGTACCAAGGTGACCCATGGTGTCATTATTTCCTTTACTCAAGAAGGAAGCATGAAGAAAGCATCGAGTAGATGCCTTGCATGCACACTTAGATCAGGGTGACAAATCCAGAAATATGAATTAACAGACCACTAAGAAAGTGTCAGAGCATTTAAAGAAAGATAAAACAGGTGCAAGTGGAAATGAATGCTGTGAGGTTCCGACTGCCGTTTTATCAAGGGAGACAATGCTCATTGCTGAATGAAGCAAGGATTTCTTCCTGATAAAACAGCAATCTGAAAACAAAGGTAATTCTTTTGCCTTTTTTTTTTTTTTCCTCAAGACCTACTGAAGCACTGTCCTGTGACAGTGGAGTCCCCTCCTGCCACAAATGCTGCACCTGACTGGTACTCGCACTGCTCCAATTCCCCAGCAGCTGATGAGCCACGGTGAGTCTGCTGAGACCCTGCATAATTTCTTGGGTTAGTGTGTAACTTCACCTGTTACTGTGTCAGAATGCTTTCATACTAAAATGCTAGATATGCATCCCTTGTACAAACAAGTGTTAAATCTTTGTCTGCAGGAGCTATGTTTCTTCTCTACCAGATTATATGATTCACAAAGAGTTTAAGGCTGATGAGCATCAAGGTAATACTTATGAGACAAAAAGAGGGCCTTTTGATTTTGATATGAAGAGTGTTTGGCAGCGGGATGCTGAGGACAAGGATAAAACGGAGAAAATGAAGGTATGATGGAGAAGCAGCCTGTGACAATGCTTTGTTTGTAGAACTTGTGAAGACATTTCTAGCTGATCCTGTGAGTTCTAATGGAAGGGAAGCTGTAGTCCACCCGAGTTTCTGTGCTCCAGAGGCAATTTTTGTATTGCAGTTCAAGAATAAGAAGAAAGCCATGTTTCTCTTAGGTGCTGCTGGCATAGCATGGGAACCTGGAATGCAGTTTCCAGTCACATTATATAGTGTGTATAATTTCAGTGTGAATGAAAGCCAGTAGTTAAGGTCTATCTTTGGCTTTATTTCTCCTGCAATTCACTCTCAGTGAACAGAATTCTTGTTTAGTGAGACTTGGGGAGGAAAAGATGAAGGAAGGAGGAAGGGAAACCTGTTCTGAAAAAGGGGTTGGTTTTGAGAAGTACTGCAGTAGCTGTCCTTGAACTGAAGATGCATTATACTTATTTTGTCTTGGATACAAGCTATGTCCAGAACAAACCTTCCTGTGATGATCTTGGGGTTGTTTTCAGGACTTTTTCCCCAGTTTTTTTCATACCAGGTGCTGCTTTTATTTTTTGCCATGTCTTTATACTCCTCTACTTACGGAAATAATATAGATAAGATAGTAAAATTTGAAGTAAAATTTGACATTTAGGGAATATAGTATAATATAGTATAGTTTAATATAGGATAATATAGTATAATCTTCTTGGTTATTTTAATCAGAACTCCTTATATTAAGATTTCTCTAACACAGGAAAAGCTTGCAGCTACAAGCCCTAAAAATCCAAGCAGCCTGCCAAGTGTTTCTCCAAACAAGGAATTTAGTGGGGAAAATAAGCTTTCCTTCCCATCTAGGTAAGTAGTACACTGATGAGGTTCATTAAACTCCTAAGCCTGCAACAATTTGTGCATGCAAGTAATGTTGCTCCTTGGGAAATTGCAGAGATTAGTGGATCTGTGCATGGACTTGTGGATCCTTACTGCTACTAAACTTGCTATCCTGTGTGTTGCTATAGTAGTTTTACAGACAACTAAATTAATAGCACTTTAACTCGCATTGGACAGCTATTAATTATAACTTTGCTTTAGGAAAACTAAGCATACAGTTGCTTTTCTTAATGTAGCACACTTTTAATGTATTTTAAATAGACTGGGTTCTTTCTCTATACCAGTGAACAGATGCAAACTATAATGCACATCATTAGTCTTGTAGGCACAGATTGCAGAGACACAAGTAGGACTGCCATTTTAAGAAAACACACAAACTGTAGTCTAGATGAGGTTAGGCACAGCAAAAATACTGTAATGAACACTTGGAAAAATATTATATTATTGTATCGCCTGTGATGTGGTGCAATCACATCATCAACTGTGTGCACAACTGAGTTGTTTTTGCATAGTTTGTCTTAAAATTTATTACACAGTCACCTGGAATCCCAGTAGATTTTCAAAATACGATAATGATGCAGCAAATGCATTTATGAGCATGTCTGTGACAAAATTTCACCTTTGTGCAGTGCAAAAGGAGTATTGTCAGTCTTTCTTACTTTCACAATTTTTGTGTGATTTGCCTTTCCCATTTCTTTGTCTCTAAGACCAAAAAACTGTGTAAGTATTATACACGTTTAGTTCAAATAAAATGGATGGCTCTTCTCATGTAAAATTGCACATTACTGAATTGAGTGTAGTCGTGTGCTCTGGTGGTTTTGGTTGTTTGCTTGTTTTTTTTGTTGTTGTTGTTTTTTGTTTGTTTTGCTTGTTTTGGTTTTTGTGGGTTCTTTATTTTTTCTTTGATTGGTTACATGTAGAATGTGTTTAGTTACTTAGAAATAAATTATAAGACTGTTGCCCTTTCTGTGCAAAAGAAAATTTTCCCACCTAATCCTATATTTTGTTTACTTATGCTGTTGTTTACCTTAATATATTTGGATTTACAGGCCTGCTCAGAGAAAAAGCGAACCAGTAAACTTTAGCAAATTACTAAGTAATGGTTATGGGACTGACTGGCTTCAGCAACATATGGGACAGGAAAAAAAGATTCAAGAAACATCAGAAAATAGTGAGCAGTCCAAAGGTAAAATTACTGAAAGTTGTTTCTTTTAAAGTGAGTTGGAATCACAACAGCAGCAGAGGGTAGCCTGAATAATTTATGTGGCTCTCTTTGAATATGATGAGACTTACTGAGTTACCATGTTTAGCTTAGGTGACCAGCTAAAGAAAATAATGCTCCTGCTTGTAGTCAGTGAAGGCAGGGGCTTTCATGGATATTTTTTTTTTCGTGTTTACAATTGTAGAAGTAAGCTCTATTCTGATCCAAGGGCTTCTGTGTGATGGGTACTTGGAAAGTGCTACAGAGACACAGCTGTCCTCCTGCCTAAATTTAAGCAGACCATAAAATATTTGCTGCCTCTTTGTTGGGAATAGTCTGACCACTAATATTTTTCAGAAATTTCTGTGACAAATGTCATTGGTGCTTGTGCTTAATAAACAGATCTCTGTTCATAAAAATTGGTCAAAATAAATATATGTGCATTGTTGAAGACAGTGGAGTTGCAACAGCTTTATTAGAGAGAGAAAATTATCCAATGTTTACATACAATTTCAAACCTTACTTTGTCATGCACAATGGTAACAGCTATCAAATGCATCACTTGAAAATACTTAAGAGGTTAAAGGCCAGGAATTTCCCTTTACTGAGATCTTTTGCTTAGGCTTTTCATAGTGGCTGGGTAACCACGGTGAGTGTATCAGTTTTCTATAACAACCTTTTAAAATGTTATTGAACATACACATATTGCAAGCTCCAGAATTATTTTTTTTTTTTGTAATTGTATCAGTGAATGCTGGTGTATACACTGGGGATTGCAGTAACTCCCTTGGACTTTAGGAGTATAAAGAAAGCTAAGGATTTTTCAGAGTAATCATGTTATTGGTTTGGTTATACTACTTAGGCATAGAGAACAAAGTGATGGGTATGCTGTAAAGGTTGCTGAAAAGTCAGTTTGATATATAGATACATCTTATTTTTGAGATGCTTTTCTTTCACAAATTCGTAGATAAAATGACACCTGCTTTGCTTTTATTGCCATCCTTTGTCAGTCGTAGCTATTCCGAGTGAGATTGATTGTATATCAGTATGGTTTTATCCAGACATGTACTTTGATTCAGTTTTGCCCTTGTCCTTTTAATTCTTTGAGGTATGCACTGAAGGCAGTGCTTGTATTTTCTTCCCACTTGGGTTCTTTTGTCTGCTCGCCCAAAACAATTGGCAGCATGAGTACCTTGCTGCTCCCTTTTGAGATGGAGCTTTCTCTATTATCTCTTGCAGAGGGTAAATCCAAGACACATCAGACAGGAGATATAGGCCATTCCGTATGTAAATCTGTAATCCGTTTGTGTTGGGTTATATATTTGCATCATACTGCAAAGTTTGTAGGTAGTTTGTCTATCTTGTTAGTTAAAAATTAAAAGTACCCGAATGTGTATGCATGTTGATGTGTGAGAGAAACTGAAAAATTTAGTTGACCTTTTCATTCCTATGGCTGAAGTTATCCTAAGAACTTTAATCTTTTTTACTGCAGATTCAGAACCATCACAGTTGGAATCAGCTCTGCAAGCAACTAATTAAAGCCACGATTTCAGGGATGTAATAAGAAATTTAAAAGACTATTGGAGAACTAAAGTTTTTATAATCCACTGTTTACATGTTTGATAGATTACTTTTTTAGTTGAACTCATCCCTGATTGAGAAGTTAGTATTTTTGTCCAATATGGATGAACTTCATTGTGCTTGATTACAGCAAACTGTAAAGAACAGGCAACAGCTGTCAGTGTGTATTCCTAGACTTTTTCTTAATATATTAAATAAAATATAGCAAATCTGAAGTTCTCTTCTACACCAGACTAGTGCTCCTTTGTTGTTGTGAAATAGGGTTTGCTATGTTGCTGCCGATTTTACTAAACATTGGTACAGTACTTGTGTGTCCAAATCAGAAACTGTATTTAACTACAGTTATACTCATGACCTATGCCATAAAGAAAGGTGAAGGGAGACAGTATGGTATGGGATGAAGTACATATAGAAATAATTTAACTGGTATGGATACTTGCAGTAAAAAAAGTCAAACCTTCCCTGGAAAGATGACTTGTTATTCCCAAAACACACATTTATTTAGATAGTTATTCACCTTTCTAGGATAATTCTATGGCTACACCTGCTGCACAAGAACTAGTTGATCAGTCACAGCATGCAGCTGCTTAATTAAATAAGGACCAGGAGGCTTTTCCTGTTACAGTCTTGCAATACAGAAGATGAATCATTGGGTAATATGGTGTGGACTAAGCTATATATGTTACATATGACTTTAAGCTGTTAAATAAAAGTTGTATTTATCCTGAAGTTTTGAACTTAGCAAAAATATTATATGCTAGGTCTGTGTTTATTCACACCAGCAGAACAGTTTGTACTTTAAAATAGCAACGTATATAAATTATTTTAATATTTTGAGAAAAGTTAGATACAGAGATATTGTAACATTTGCTCTTTTACCTACTTGAATTAGGATATATCCCTGAAATTTTGTTAATAATTAAATATTTATTGTAAAGCCCATTAGAAAGCTGATGCAATTTCAAGAAGGTATTTTTTGCTAATACTATGAAAAATGAAGTTTTTAGTAAGTAAAATAGTAATTTTTAGTTTCCTTATCAGTGTGGACTCTTCATTGTACAGCTTTGATCCAAGAGCTGAAGATTTTAAAATGTATTAGTGAATATACCTTTCTTTGAACAGAGTGTTTAGAGTATTTGGCTTAATAGTGCCCTTCTTCAGAACTTTCATATGAAAATTTGTTAGAAATAGGTGAGGTAAATATATAGGCAATATATATAAAATATAAGTTAAAAAAATATAAACATATAAATAAATATATAGGTAAATAGTTATTGATAAGCTGAATCCTCCAAATTTCAGTGAAGTTTGTGGAAATTTTGCTGTTGCTGTTGTTCGACCCAGCATCTGAGTCCATTTTTGCTGTTCATTTTAACCAACAATTCAACTAAGTCATATTTGCCAAAATAAAAGGCTAAAACTTAGGAAAATACATAAATTTGCACTTAGTGCAAATCAGCACTAATTAGCACAAATTAACACAGGTTAATCAGCAAAATTTTGCAAATTTAAAAAAGCTTACATCAAGCTGGATCTGAGGGGGAAAAACAATTCCTGCCTTAGAGCTGTTTTCACAGTTTGTATCACAGATTATGTTCAGACACATTGAAACCATTAATTTTGCTGTGAATGCAGAGCTTTTGGTAAAATTTGCTTTCTAGGTTAAGAGTACCAGGGGATGTTCAAGCTGGAGCTCATATTATTAAAACCTGACCAGTAGAAAAACTGTCACCTCTCGTTATAGAGAAGCACTGAAGAATAAGCTTGCATGGAGAAGTTGTTCATCTGTAACAGGCAAATTGTTGATACCCGTAGCATTTTAACAATAAAATTTTACATCTAATTCAGTAAACATCAGTTACTGCATGATGTTCTCCAAAGCATAAGGGCTGTTTAATGGATTTCTCAGAATTATTCATCCATATGAACATGCCTTATCTGGGAATGCAGCTATCTTTATTTGATGGAGTCTTTGGATAAAGTTATACTTTTAATTCTTAACATCTGTATTGAAAGGGTAATAGAGGGCTGGGTTTGTTGTGTCCACCAATGGTAATCTGCAACAGTAAAATATGTTCAGCCTTTGTGGCATACTTTAAGAGTATTAACAGCAATAGTACTACTTTTCAGTCCCACTTTGATTTTCTGAGTCCTATGATTGTAGGAAAAACTTCTGCAATACTGTTTGCAGTTACATGCTTTACTGGCCAAAACGTAAAAGAAAGGGGAAATAGGAGATGATGATGAAACTCATTGGAGTTAAGTTGCTTAAGGGTAAGGCAAGCAAGTCTTCATTTAAATGCCCATCAGTTGAGTAGGAAGGTGTTTTCTACTTAATCAGATACTGAAACAATTTTATTTTTTAGAAAGTTTTCTGGAAGGTGTTTAGTATGCATTTACTGAAAAAGTTGTTGACAGCAATGTTATGCCAAAAGAAAAATAATTAAACCAAAAGAAAAATAATTAAACCAAAACAAAACCACACAATCAAAAACCCAGAGTGGGTATTTAAAAGTATTTTCAAATTTACATATCACCTGTTGAGATAGACCTGAAGGTGCTTGCTGTGCCAAAGTCCTCAAAATCTGTTCCATAAAATGAGAATTCCTGTGTGGCTGCAATTCTGCTGACTTGCAAACATGATTTCTAATGTTTTTTTTTATATATGATGGTCTTCTTGTTAAGATACGTACAAATTGTCCTAAACTAACTTTATTACTTTGAGATGTTTGTGTAAGTCATTTTAGCTTTTGAACACTTTTTCCTCAGTATTGGAGTTCTTGTCCAAAACTGTCATATTTTTAGGGAACTGTTAGAGGCAGAAACAGAAAGACAACTGAGATCCTAACTTGGCTACTCAGCACTGTTGTTTTGCTTTAATGTAGTGCTTTTTTCAGACATTTAAAAACTGTATGCCATATCCTAATGTAAAAATTGTCTCTTTTTACCTTAGTCACCATTAGGTAATATCCACAATACATTCCTCAAATTCTTAAAAGTTTGCTAATGTGCCGTTAATGTATACTCAGTTTTCCTTAGTCAAGCCACAGAGATGTTTGATCAGCTCTGTTGGTTCACTGAGTCTTCACGGATCACAGTTTGAATAGTATGAGTTAGAATATTAACAGCCTGCAGAGCAGGTGGAGAACCCTGGAACTTCTGTTTGTGCGTTCAGAATAATGGAGACCTGCAGCAGAAGGAAGCTAACCAGCTCTCCAAGGTACATGGAATGAAAGTAGTGTAACAAATTGAAAAGCTCCAACTGAATTAAAGGATGGGAATGTGTTGCTCAAGTTTGCTCTACCCCAGTAATTATGTTTTTATTTAATTCTGACTAAATGCTGTCATGCAGCTGGCAGATTTTGAAGTCAGCAGCAGTTCCATGGGAAAGCAGTGGAAGCTTCTGGGTCTAGAAGGGTTTTCAGTGTTTGTTTTTCAGTCTTGTTTTAAATGCTGGAACATTTGTTTAGCTGTGTTGTGCTTGAATGCCTTTAAGTAATGTGAGAGAAGGTGTTTTTTTGAATACTGATTGTTTTGCACGCTCAAAGGCAAAACAAAAGGACAGTTACATTTTATGAATTACATCCAAGGATACCGAATATATGAATATTTTTAAAAGAATTCCAGGCACAGGTTTAAAAATAACTTGGCAGTTTAGGTACTGAAGAGTAATTTTCTTTCTACGTACAATAGATTAACTGCTGCAAAGTTTAATGGCTGTTTTCATTTTAATATATATTTAATCATCATCACTTCATTTTAGACTAGACTAAAATATAAACATTTTTTCAGAGATCAAGAATATATATACCTTAACATTGTGTAGCAGTGCAAACAAAATGGAATTGTCCAATGCAATTTCTTAAGCATCTAAAATTTCATTGAATTCAGCATATCTTTTTCTTACATACATGTATCTGCACTGAATGTACAGATTTAGTTGTAAAAGCCCCATTTTTTTTTCTCTAAACACATAACTTAATATTCTGGTTTTCCTGTTCTCTGCAGATTATTTTTCCATATTGTAGTTACATATGCTATAGCCTGGAAAAAAACCTAGACATGGAAATAGAGAAGTTCATTTTTTTTCATCCTATTGACAGTTTTAATTATACTAAACATCCAGAATGACTGAAGAGTCAAAATGCAGCAGGTAAGCGCCTGAATTATTTGACCAATAGACTATAAAAATGGTCTGTGGTGAGCAGGAAGGAGTATACTTTGCATCTTTCCAAAGATGCACATTTTCATACATGCAATATAAAAATCCAAAAAGAGAGGTCAGTTTCACGTTGGGGAATTTATTTTTATATATAGCTGTGTCTTTGTTACCCTTTAAAATAATGTTTATCAACACTTATTTGAGGTATCTTTCCCATGAAATAAAAAATGAAGTGAGAAACCAAAGATTAAAAAAAAACAACCATGACATTTAAAACCAATTTAAATTTTAAGAGTTTTCTAGAGATAACTGAGCAAAGGTTACTAATTATGAGTTCATTGAGATGTATTATTTATTGAACGTTTCAGACAAGTTAACTATAGTAACCTGATTATTCTTTGTTTAAAAAGAAGTTATTTACATTGGTTATTCACTTAATACATAGCTGAATGACAATCCTCCTGGAAGCCAAAGCAGATTTTTAGTGGACCCCAAGACGAAGGGGATACTCCTGTTGAAAGGAAAAGTTTCTTCCACAAAATTAAAGGTCGGTTCGAAGTTGTTTATTTGTTTGTCCACTACCATAGCTTTTACGTTTTGACAAATACTCAAGGAACAGAGAAATGAAGACGCATTAGGAGACTGTGCTTCTATTTTTTCTATTAGAGATTTAAATAAATTGTACAGGAGATATTTTTCTTAGTTGACCAATTTCTCTTGGATGCTGTTTATGGCTAGAAATGCATCTGTATGCATGGGATTTCCCTCTCTTATATTCCCATACAAAGTCCTTTTGCATGACGTAGGAAATTTAGACATTGGACTTCAGGTGCTTACAAAGTGCTTTATAAGTGTTGGGTTTGGGTTTTTTGTGGTGTTTGTTTGTTTCTGTTGGTTGGGTTTTTTTGCTTTGTTTTTGCTGGTTGAGGGCTAGCCCTTTAATAATTTTAAATTCCTCTGTTTCCAGCTTGAACCAGTTAAGCCAGACTAAGCATAGCTTCTTTTGGACCCAGGAATCTACAGACCTGTTAGTCTAAGCTGAGTTCTTGGAAAAATTATGAAGTACTGGGTACTGTTGAAAGGCAATTACAGAACAATGCAATCATGAGGTACAGTTCACAAAGGGAAACTCCTGTTTAACCAATTTGGTATCCTATTACATTCTATGGTATCCTATGATAAAGTCACTGGCCTGGTAGATGAGGGGAAGGCAGTGGATATAGTTTTTCTGGATTTTTGTAAATTTTTTGATACTGTCCATCACAGCATCCTTCTGGACAAGTTGTCCAACTGTGGGATGAGCAGGTTCATGGCACTCTGGGTGAAGAACTGGCTGAAGGGCAGAGCTCAAAGGGCTGTAGTGAATCTGACTGGTAACCAGTCACCAGCAGTGTGCCTCAGTGTGCAATTCTAGGGCTTCCTCTGTTCAATGTTTCTATCAATGATTACACCAAACTGGAAGGTGCTGTTGTCACTCTTGAGAGACAGGAGTCCTTGCAGAGGGATCTTGATAGACTGGAACATTGGACTATGACTAATGGGATTAAATCTAACAAGTTGCAGTGGCAGATTCTGCACCTAGGACCGAGTAACATCAGGCACAAATATAATCTGGGTGAGGAGTGGCTGGTGAGCAGCCCTACAGAAAGGGATCTGGGGGTGCTGGGTGGCAGCAGGCTCAGTGTGAGTCCAGCAGTGTGTCCTGGCAGCCACAAGGGAAACCACATCCTGGGGTGCATGATCAACTGGTCAAATTGGTGATTCTCCCACTGTGGGGCATTGATGGGGCCTCATCCTGAGTGCTGTGTGCAGTTCTGGGCCACACAAGTTAAGGGATGTTAAGGTCCTTGAATATGTCCAGAAAAGTCTGGAAGGAACATTTTGTCAGGTGCATCTAAGGGCTTTGGGTTTGTCCCGTTTGGACAAAAGGAAGCTGAAGGGCAACCTCGTTGCTCTCTACAGTTTCCTGAGTAGGGGAAGGGGAGAGAAAGCTGCTGATCTTTCTCCCTGGTATTCAGTGATACAATGCATGGGAATGGTTCAAAGCTGCACCTGGGGGAGGGCCAGACATGGCATTAGGAAGCATTTATTTACTGAGAGGGTGGTCAAACGTTGGAAAAGCCTGTCAGCGTTTAAGAAGCATTTGGACAATGCCCTCAACAACATGGTTTAACTTGGTCAGCTCTGAAGTGGTCAGGCAGTTGGACTAGATGATCGTCGCAGGTCCCTTCCAGCTGGAATCCTCCAGCAGCAGAAGTCGCCTCTGCTTCGTCCTCAGCGCCTTTATCTGCCCTACCGAAGGGCTGGTGAAGGAAGCGCGCCGAGACACGCTCCGTACGAAGAGACACTTACAAAAACATACACATACATACACATACCGACGTCCACGCAGCCTGACTCCGCAGCCCCCAGGCTCCCAACATGTGTTCGTCTATTTGTACACACGGGGCAAGATCGCGGCGAAAACCCGTCGCCTCCAG